TTCCTCTGCAGGCATCCTGGCTTAGTCTCGTAGACTTGGTTCGCGCGCACCGCATTGGGGAAACGCCCTCCTCGGCGCATGCGGCTCACTGATGCTGCAATGGCATTGTTCAGAAGCCCCAGACCTATTCTGGCCCATCATTACAGGTACATACTTCTGTACCGCTGCCTGCTGTTTGTAGAGACTAAAAGTGTTGAGTAATGGAGCGGTAGAGTGAAAGCACGACATTTGGTAGAATTATCATAGAAAGTGAGAATATCGCCCGGACACTTATTTTCCACCTTGGATCTGCAAGATATAGACTCCACGTTTTACCGATTGTCAATTCCTAGTATCTCACATGATTCTATAAAGCTAGCTGTTACTATAGCTCAACTGAGGTATGTTAGTTAGGTAAAGTGGAGGAGATGCGATGTACAGGAATTCAAGGACTTCATCGGCACAAGAAGGCCATTCGTTGCAGATATCCAGTTTCCGTCTCCAGTCTGTCCGCTGTCCTGCCAGTCGGAACTGGGCCACCTACTCTTGGCAGAGAGCAGCTTTGTTTTGTGTCCAGCGCCGCTCTGTGGATGGTAGGTCTTGATCCGTTTGACGCTTCGACTCACCTGGCGTGCAGGATTCCCGACTCTGTGCACTTTCTTATTCCTAAGAACAGCGTTCCGCTACAATCAACTGCGTTATGATCTACAATATCGTCGTTTCGTCATCGAGACGTGGACACACTCTACAACCTCAGAGCTGCGTTTTGTCTTGCCACCATTCACTCCTACATCTATAAAGCGTCCGAGTCCTACCTTCCATTCAACTATCACCGAAACTTTTTTAAGAGTTTACTTTGAAGCTTCTGATTGATAATGTTTGTCACAGGCAGTGGTATGTGCTGTATATTGGTTTATCTTGGTACTGGAGGTGGCCAGTCAGTTCTGGGTGTACTGTATCACGGGAAGCAGAGAAGGAACAGGAGGGAGGTAGTATGTAATCGTAAGTAATGCCTCAGGAGGATATCAGTTTTGCTGCTTGAACATGAACAACTAGTTGATGATAATTTGGTCTTCCGTTCAGAAGATAATTTGTGTTCTCTGCAGCTATTTGGCATCAGATATCAAATGATGGTAAAGTGGCCAAATTGAAGCATTTTTAACGGCACCTCCCTCGGTTGCTGTTTACAACAACCCCTGCTGAGTCAGATTCTAGTGTAAACATGTTTCAGACAGTGGAAATGACATCAAAACTGAGAATGTTTGAAGGGAAATATACAGTTAAACTATTTGTCGTTGAAGCTGACCCAAATGGGATTGAAATTGATGAATGTTTGCTGCAATTTGAGTGCTCTAATAAGTGTTCCCTGTATACCTTTAGAAAAATCACAAAATCTAATAATGAACGTTCACTGGACACTAACGAAAATAAAAGTGGTAAAGATTACCAACTGAATGTGCATGGAACTAATGGAACTAATTCAAACTCTGTTCTTACTACTGCAGAAAAAGTTGGGATTGGAATAACTGTGTCATTGGTTACAATATTAGGAGCGCTATGTGCAGTTTCACTTACTTGCTTTATCTGTTCTAAAAATGGATATGAATCGCTTGGAGAAAGAAATTGCAATTTATGCTGCAATAGCTGTAATTGAAAGTGCTTTATCTTTTGGTGTCTTGCTATATTGTGCTTATATCCTTAACATTATTATCATTGTGTATTTACATAAATGTACATATGTATGGATTACCTACACAGAATGTTTTTTACAACAACACATGTATAACTGTCGGGTGAATTGTGTACATTATTAATGAAAAGCACTAAAGTGCAAGACCCTCGGCGAGCTGCACATGCGCGATAGTCTACCGCTAATTGTTGGGCTGGGCTATTAGTATGCGTTCACTCGTGGTTTCCTGCTGGTAGCTCATACAGAGTCTGGCTACAGTAGTAGATAGCATGCGAGAGTCGATTCACGCCCTCCGCTGTGACTTCTTGTGCCTCCAGGGTACACAGAGCGAGCGAACACAGTTGAGGTAAGCCTGTGCTAATTTGCATAGCTATTGGCTTGCTCACTTGCTTTTCACGCCATAACTTTTGAACGCATACGAAAATCGCCTTTTGTTAAAATGAAGCCAGTTTAGCAATGAACCCATTGGTATCGCTATTTTGTTATCTTGTTGCGCGTATATAGTCGGATAAAACGTGGTAACAGACAGACGGACAGACAGACAGACACACTTACAAACTGAACTGCAAAACCCTCGGCGGTGTGGTACCACGCACGTAAGTCTGGCTATGTGTAAGTGCTAGTCTAGCAATATTATTTGTCACAATAAGAGTGTGTGACTCTAGGCCAATGAACATGTTTAGAAGACACAGACTGACTTTATAAAGCAGGCCTGAAACGAGAATAAACAGTGAACATGTCCTAAAGCCTAGGAACATGAAAATCGAAGAACGACAGAAACTATCATCATCTCATCAACCATGATCACTCGGAAATCAGACAAATCATACAACAATTTGGTTCCAGGACTGAGAATATCACCATCACGAATGAATGACTCAAGTATCAGAAGTATCATGAAAAGTCGGAGATACTAAAGTGCAAACCCTTGGCGAATTGCGCATGCTCGGTACCACTAATTGATGGTCTGGGCTTTAATATGCGTTTACTCATGGTCTCCCGCTATAGCTCGTTGAGAGTCTGACACAGACTAGCTACAGTAGTAGATAGCATGTGGAAGTCGATACACGCCCTTCCTTGTGACTTCTTGTGCCTTCAAGATGCAAAGAGCAAACGGACCCGGTGAAGGTAAGTCTGTGCTAATCTGCATATTGGCTTGTTCACTTGCTTTTCACGCCATAACTTTTGAACGCAGTAGTTATAGGAAAATCGCCTTTTTTAAAATGAAGCCAGTGTAGCGATGAACCCGGTGGTATCGCTATTGTTGTCTCGTTGCGCATAGGTGGTAACAGACGGACAGACGGACAGACAGACACACTTACAAACCAAGTACTAAACCCTCCCTGCGCATGCGTGCCGAGGGTTAACAACAGCCACCGGCCTGTGCTTATGCACTATAATTCATACTAGTATGAGGGCACACATTTTTGGCCAGTGAACACGAGTCATAGGAACATGGCATACCCATTCTTCTCAAACATTCATGTTGAGTAATGGAGCGGCAAAGTGAAAGCACGATGGACATTTGGTAGAATTATCATCGAAAGTGAGAATATTGCCCGAACACTTATTTTTAGGATCTGTGGATGAGAGGTCCTTTCAATAACCTGATTTCGAAATTTCAGCCAAAGACCTAATATTAGTTGAATCTACAAATGCTTGTTTATGTCTGAGAGTTTAAGTATGAATTATTAAAAGTGCATAAGTGCAGGCACCGATAGATGTTGACACAATTCACCTGACAGTTAGTAGGTTATACATGTGTTGTGGTAAAAACCATTCTGTGTAGGTAATCCATACATATGTACTTGTATGTATGTACACAATGATAATAATAATTTTGGAAACATGTTTCGTTGGGAGGAATCGATTCATATGAAGAACAGACTCGTATAATACGATAGCAAGTACATACATAGAATTGCACATAGCGCTCCTAATATTGTAACCAATGACAGCTATTCCAATCCCAACTTTTTCTGCAGTAGTAAGATCAAAGTTCGAATTTTATAGGAAACCTGTTCTTGCGAATAAGAAATTCACAGATTCCGGGAGACAAGTGAATCCTGCATTCCAGTTATTCTTAGCGTCAATGATCAAAATCATCGGTTCGGAGAAATAACGCAAAGCTAAATGAAAAGCACTCAAGTGCAAACTCTCAGCGCATTACGCATGCGCGGTACCGCTAATTGATGGGCTGGGCTATTAGTGTGCATTTACTCATGGTCTCCTGCTAGTAGCGCGCGGAGAGTCTGACACGGGCTAGCTACAGTAGTAGATAGCATGCGGGAGTCGATACACGCCATTCGTTGTGACTTCCTGAGCCCCCAAGGTACGCAGAGCAAGAGGATCAGGTCGCGGTAAGCCCAGTGGATTATGCATATTGGCTCTTTCGCTTTTTTACGTCATATATCTCTGGAATGCAGTCGTTTCAGGAAAAGCACCTTTATACATACATTTAATGATTTCGTAGCTCTGAAGCTGCAGGTATCGCTCATACAGACAGACGGACGGATGGACGGACAAACCAAGTACAGTAACCCTCGCTGCGCATGCACGCAGAGGGTTAATGAACACCATTAGCAGTGTGTGCGAGACAAGGTGCACAGAACCGCCCTTTCTTACAATATTGTAGTGGGAGTTCAACTGTAACAAGTGATGACAATTTCCACAGTCCAATATTCATGTCGCTTATAAACCCTCTAGACATTATGAATCACATATTAATGAACTGAGTTGATTTTATAGGAATCCTGTTCTTGTGAATATAATATTCACAGATTCCAGGAGACAAGTGAATCCTAAAACATCACATGTCTCTCTCGCAGTCACACGCGCATGCACACACCCACCTCCTGCCAGAGTTTGGCGGTGAGCTGGAGCTATATATTTGGACCACTAGCTCACTCCCACTCACCAATAAACTCCTCTCTCTCACTGTCACACACACATGCACACACACACCTCCTGGCAGAGTTTGGCGGTGAGCTGGAACCATTTGGACCACTATATGTAGGTTAGCTCACTCCCACTCACCAATAAACTCCTCTCTCTCTCACTGTCACACACACATGCACACACACACCTCCTGGCAGAGTTTGGCGGTGAGCTGGAACCATTTGGACCACTATATGTAGGTTAGCTCACTCCCACTCACCAATAAACTCCTCTCTCTCTCACTGTCACACACACATGCACACACACACCTCCTGGCAGAGTTTGGCGGTGAGCTGGAACCATTTGGACCACTATATGTAGGTTAGCTCGCTCCCACTCACCAATAAATTCCTCTCTCTCTCTCAATTTAACACACACACATGCACACACCCACCTCCTGGCAGAGTTTGGCGGTGAGCTGGAACCTGTGAGGGTCCGTCATGTGGGAGAGGAGGAAGGAGTACAGCCTCACCCGCTGATCTCTGTGTTTGCTGCCTTTCAGAGAGAACAGCTCCCTCTCTCTCTCCGTCTGCCTGAACCTGTTATACACTGCACAGCATGGGCAGAGAAGGGAACATCATTTTCTGACTTCATTAGCACTGGCAGAGATATTATAATATAGCTCTCTTCACAATACTACTGTACCTCGTCTTGCTCCTAATCTCATGCAGTGTTATGCTCGCACACGGGGCTCTTCTCAGGAACAAAGCTAAAGCATGTCCCAGGACTACCTTTAAAATGCTATAAACGCTGGGTGGGTTTCAAACACTGCACATACTGTACACGTCACAATGGCACATCCTACCATGCCATTTTGCAAGGGCTGTGAGGGCAGAACCAATTTCTTCCTTCGCAGAGAGACGGCGCAATGTGCTTAGTAGTGCCTCTGGCCATACAATTGTATCACTAGTCTAAGTTGTAGCTGGGCATTAATTAATTATGCACCTCTGTGCTTCTCATAGCCATTGAAGTGGAAGACACACTCGACAAAGTGCTGGAAGAACATGTTTGGATTCCTGGCCAGGAGAATGTGAACCAGGCAGAACTCAGCTACATCAGTGAGAAGATGTAGTATGTGAGATTAGGGATTCAGAAGAGAGAGAAAAACCAGAGAGGCTATTTTACAGTGCTGAATAAGGGATATATACCTTGGGGACATTGATTAAGCAGTGTGCTTTATTCAGAGGTGTACTGATGTGTAAGTATGGGGCAGACCCAAATGTCCCTTATAAAGAATGTCCTTTTAATCAGAGGGTCTTTGAGGTTTCAATGTAGATGAGAGAGAGAGAGAAAGAGAGAGAGAGAGAGTAACGGCTAATAGTGAGGAAAAGAGGGACATTCATTCATTCATTCATGGAAAACTGCGCTGGGAGCAAAAGGACAACAGGAGTGCAGTTGCACCATTGACTCATTTCACTCACCAAAGACCCTGAGCTCCTCGTCCAGTAGAGTGCTGATGAAGCGGAAAAAGAGGGCTCCTTTCCACTTGATGTAGTCCTCCTGAATGAGACTGGCCAGTAGAGTCAGTGTTTGTCTGGGGAGGGACAGAGAGAGAGAAATACACTCGTCTAGATTGCAGTGTCGTGGGTTGAAATCCCACCAGGGCAGCTCTTTTTTCAGTTGTCCTGGGTGTCGTTGTTTACCTTTGCCTTCAGAACTTGCTGTTAACACATACAGCTACACTAACACACTAACAAGCTACTGTCATGCATGAAAAATGCATTGTGTTCCTTATAAGCAGCAGCTCACCTCCTGACCAGGAGTGACTCATCTCTGAGGCAGACTGCGATGCTGGGTATGTGGGGGTCCACCTTCACCGAGTACCTCACCGCCAGGTCACACAGAACCACCATCACGTTGTTGCGAGTCGCGGCGTGTGGCGAGGTCTGGAGCTCCCTGACCAGCTGCGGGATGACTTGCTTCGTCAACTCCTCGTCCTGAAGACACAGCTTCCCTGTGCAGGTCACCAAACAGAGAGGGGTGTTGTACTGACACACAGTGTTTGCACTAATGACATACAATGTGCTCTCTCTATAAGGCCACTTCAGCCCACTTCAGTCAGGTACTTACATGCTGCATAATAGGTACGCACACGCACCAGAAGGCCATACCCCTAGACAGTACCCCTATGTAGATACATAATTATGCAGGAGCGACCAATGGAATAGTTTTCTCATGTGAAAAATATCATTCAATATTATAGTTTTTTTGCTCTCAGAAGTTGTACATTTTCCTGAAGGCCTTTTCCCTAGACACCCCCAGATGTACAGTATTGGCAACCAATAGTAAACTGTTGTAAAAGTACTCTTCCACACAGTTTCCTAGGGAAAACCTAAGGCAATATAGTGTTGTGGATGACTAGAGGGAACAGACCTAGAGTGAGGTAGCTGAGGGCCCGGAGCGAGGGGGAGAAGGAGAGATTAGTGAGACCAGAGAGTTGGGAAGACTGAGAGGACAGCGATCGGAAACTCGGCTTCTCTGTGGAGGGAAACACAGAGACACGTGATGTGACAGTCGAGATTTACAGGACGCAACTTTGTCAACAATCAGAAATTTCCGCTAATCCCCATTCCTGGTGGCTGGCATAACCATGAGAGACACAAACCCTACTCGCACCCTGGTGGCCAGTAGTAAAGAGTGCACTATCTCTGCCATAACACACACACACACCACCTACCTCCATCTCCCTCCCTGGTGGCCAGTAGTAAGGAGTGGACCACGAGAGTGAGGTGGGAAGAGGTGTGGGCAGGACTAAGCCGACACAGCTCCCCAACTGCAAACAGGTAGCACGTGGCCTCTTTCTCGTCTATCTCTCTCCCTCCTTCAGACAGCGACGACTCTATAGTGACAAGGGTACACGTATTGCCGGTACATAAGAGGTATATAAATTTAGAAATGTTACTGAATATGGAACAGGCCCAGTGAAATAATGCAGTATATAACAGTTTCTGAATTTATACACTGCCACTCCTTTAACGTGTCTGTTAGTCTGCAGTACTATATAACACATTGTGTATTTCGCCGCTCAACTCAAACTGTTAGTAACACTGTATGAATGGCACCAGCATTCATACATATCTACAAACACCGTTTCATCTCCAAGTACTGTAACACTTGGCAATTTCAATGGAGGAAAGCCGTCTTCTCGGAACATACAACTTGCTTCATACAGTATCACTAAGTACGGTAGTACATTAAAAATCCGGCAAATTTAAGTTGTATTTTCAAGTTATAGGTCCTGACTATTGTAATGGTGAACGTTTAATACTTCGCCTAGGCAACAATATGAGGATTGTGGGTGCTCAAATCTGTTTGTTAACCACGCTTCATGTATCCTATCCCTAAGTTGGCAAGACTGACAATTCTAAAACACGTCTACAAAATTTGCAAACAGGGAATCCACAAAAACTAGAATATGTGCTGAAGTTTACAGTGAAAGACATGACTGCTGCGGAAAATAGAGCAAAAGAAGCTTTGAAGGAATACAAGTGTACCCTTGGAGGAGGAACTGAATGGTACACAGTTGGACAGGACAAAAGTGGTGAGCTGATCCAGAAGTTCACGGCCGCAGTTACAAATATTTTTTAGTGATTTTGAATACTTACTCACTTGTACGTATGTAGTTGTAGAGAGTTTTGTACATATATACATGAAATGGTCAATTTTTATCTACTGCTTCATCACACTGAGTATCACTAAGTACGGTAGTACTTAGTGATACAGGTAAAAAAAGTTAATTTAAAAAAAGAGGCATATAGGGATGGTATAAAAAGAAAGGGAGACAAGATAGGGATGGGATACATGAAGCGTGGTTAATGAACAGATTTGAGTACGCTGACACCCCCAACCCCATCACACAATCCCCATATTGTTGCCTAGGTGAAGTATTAAAAATTCACATTACAATAGTCAGGACTATAGCTTGAAATACAACTATTGAGTAACCAACACCGTTATAGGATCCAAATGGAGTTTAAGAGTGGCACACCAGGCAATAGGGATTGTGTGATGGGGTCGAGGGTTTATCTGTTCGTTAACCATGCTTCATGTATCCCATACCTATCTTGTCTTCCTTTCTTTTTATACCATCCTTATATGCCTCTTTTTTTAAATTCGCAGGATTTTTAATTTACTTGTGTTATTTTAACTCCTAGATTGCACATAAAGTGAATATAAATGGGCCAAACTTGTACATGTATACCGTATAAGGACATTTAGAACACCAGTAGGAGCTGGGTAACATACGAGAGTTGTCCTCTATGAGCGAGGTGAGGTAGAGTTCACATTTCTTCAGCAGTGGGACACACCAGTTGTCAACCGCTGCCTGGTAGCCCTCTCGAGACCTCGTCAGACTCTCACAGATCTGACACAGGACAGAGTCATTTGAATATTGGCTAGGTTTTACGTCATAACTTTAAAACACGGTACTTTTACGAAAATCACCATTTTTTTAAAATCAAGGCTGTATAGCGCTGAACCTGTTGGTATTACTTTTCACCCGGCTTGTTGTGTGTGGTGGCAGAAAACGTTTTAACAGACAGAATGACGCACGGACGGACGGACACACTTATTGTACAAACTAATTACCATAACCTTCACCACACAAGTGTGCCGAGGGTTAATGTCGCATGGCGACAAGCAAGTCACCTACACGTAGCGCACTTTAGTGGTAACAGACAAACAGACCAAGTACTGCAACCCTCACTGTGCATGCACAACAACGAGGTAACAAGGCAGAGGGAAGTATGTAAACAAGTCAACTACACCCATGACAGCTCTTTTTTTCCAAGGAAAAACAATGAGTTGCCCTAGGTGGGATTTGAACCCACAACACACTCTGCAGTCTAGGCGAGTGGTCTACCAACTGAGCTACCAATAACCATGGCAATTAACTCAGTTGGTAGGGGTTTAAATCTTCAACACAATATGACAAACCTCAACCCACTATGCACACTGAAGTTTAACTAGAGCTGCTACAACATGTAGGAACATACCCACAGTGGGAGTACAGAATCATTACCTGACTGAGAGTGGTGATAGCCGCCTGTATAACAACCGGAGGTACTTTGAACGTCTCCAACATTGAAACTATCTCGTCTGTATGAGAGGTCACGAAAAGACTAGTTAGAGAGCTATACAGATAAAAAAAACCAGAAGTAAATTGACTGATAAAAAGAAGGAGCTGCTGCAGGCATACTCTGGTCCACAGCAAGACAAGACAATGTGATGTATTGTGAACCCAGACTTGTACTGTAGCTCCTACAATGCTTTAATCAGAGACGTCCATTGGGGCAAACTAATATTGTTGGGAACACCACACACACCCAGAACTTTTAAGAACATGGAGGTGGGGGTTTCCCATCCCTCTATGCTCATTTTGCCTCCTCCTGGATAAATTTCTAAATTAAATGCTTGCTACTCACCTCTCATATCTTCCCTCGCCACCTTCGCAAGGTTCTTTGCCGCGTTGCCTATGACCGTCAGAATCTGAACAAGTGGAGCCATCGTTTCCATGGATACCACCGAGGAATGCTGTTTCCAGTTGTCGTACACGAAGTTGGTGTCGAGGTAAGATGCGACGTACTGTGACATTTCAGCCAGGAGTGTCCAGGCCGCCTGGAGTCACATACACGACATACAGTACGAGTCAAGAAATACCGTCAACTGTTTTTGGGTAGAGGTGTTGACGTTATTTTTGACTCCAGCAAGATGAGGTCATACATTACAAACAGCAATCCACCAAGGAAAAAACCATAGGTTATATGTACACTCTTTCACTAGTCACATGACTGTCATGTGATCTGGTACAGGTTCCGGCACTACCTCCAGCAGAATGCGTCTGTGGACAAGACTGACTTGGACACCCTGCCTCTGGCCACAAGATTTCCCTCCACACACTGTAGCTTGTAACTGACAGCAGTGTTGCTTACAGATGGGGGATGCAGACGGTGTATTATATTCGCCATTAGGCACATGTACAATTTTTCAGGCTTAGATACGTACATTTTTAGCAGGCCTTAATTAATCTCCCCAGAAACATTTTGCATGTAACCCCGGACGTTGGTACGTAACATAAATCACTGAAAATATTCGCAGATTAAACGCCACATATGGCAATTGTGGTTGGTTTCTTCATACTGGCAGCACAGAATGAGGTTTTCAACAGACGCAGACTGTATCCATATGAATGGCATATACACTTGTGAAGCCTTCTAGAAGCCCTTCCCCTCTCTCTCCTTTCCCAATGTGAAAGTGTGAGCTGTTTTAGTTTTCATGCCACACGGGTGCTCATCCACATATCATTATGCAGTTCTCAAAAACTACACTTTACATGTACATGCAAATATAAGAACTGCCGTTTACACTTAACCAGCCGCGGACACATAAATGTGTCCAGAGCCTTCTGTAAGTCCATAAGAATTTAAATGGGGTTATAATACTAGGCGCTAATACTTTATACAGCAATTTCTGCTTATTTAAGCAGATACCCATGGCATCCAAAGGGTTATTAAACCACACTGCAAATTATCTAGTTCTCCTATACTGTACATCACATGGTATTTTCTACACATGTATGTACATATCTACACACCTTCTGGTGGGGAAGGTGTGCGGTGTGTGAGCAAACAGCTCTCACGAGAGCCCCGCCCAGTTTCCCCTGCTTGGCCCAGAGCTCGGTGGCCCGGCGGACGTAGCGCCGCAGGTCCATCCTGTCCTCCTCGGCCACCAGAGACAGCAGCTCCCACACAAACCTCTGCCTCGGAGCCCTGCAAGACACACACACATGACAGAAGGCGAAGAACACACATGTTGAGATGTTCTTCTTATTCACCAGCAGTATACTTTAAAAATCTCGTGACAAAAATTGCGAAGTATTTTAGCATACAATGCACTTTGGTTACATTCGCCTCTAGTCATGCTCGGGAGTTGCACAAACTCCCGAGCATGACTCGGACTCTTATTTATGCGATATACAGGTACCAAAGAGCGTGTATGTTCTTCAAATCCAACTTCCCAATTGCTGCAATTTCTTACACCCATTGAAACAAGTTTGTTGAAAACTTGCAAAATGCAATAAGTAAAGTTTACATCGCGCGGCAATATTAAGGCCCAACAATAGTTTCAAAGTTAGAAGCTGGAAAATTGTGCACACATCCCAGCTTAAAGCTAAACCTCAACACAAGAGTTGATCTATCGTTCACAAAGTGCACAGCACATCAATACACCACATGCACTTTTCAAGAGTGCATGTGTCACTTGCATATGTACATATATATAGCACTAGGGGAAAAACAGAAAGAAACCTTAGAACACTGAAACTGGTTGGTAAAGTAGAAGAATATCTTTGAAACAAAACCGATGGAGTAACAGGGTACGTAGGGACACAAACATTACACAACTGGAAATAATATCCTGGGGCAAACCCAGGGGATCATTAAAAAAACTTTAAAAACCTTGGCAAACCAAGGGGATCATAAAATATCCAGCTGGGGGAAACCAAGGGGTCATAATAAATGTCAAATACATGTAGTAGCAGGGGCAAACCCAAGAGATCCCAAAATATGAAAGAGTCGACAGAACTAATGCTGTGGTCAGAAGACCTTATCTGTAGAAGAGATATAACAATTATACTGACTGTTGACTGTTGAAAGGGGCGATGTTATCAAGAATGATGCTCTCCAGAGTTGAGATGACTTTCTCCTGAGCGCTGGCCTCTTTGTCCATCACCATAGGCAACACACCATCCAGCCACAACCTGTGGTTAATGGGGACAGGGGGTGAGGGGAGAGGAGAGGAAAATGGATAAGGATAAAGATGATGGAGGGATGTGTGGAAGAAAAGAGAGTGTATGTAAACCATTGAGAGTTTAGTAGAAGACAAGAGGGAAGAGAAGAGAGAAGAATGATAAGGAGAGAGGGGGGAGAGAGAGAGAGAGAGAGAGAGTTTGTGTATGTGTGCATGTTGTATAGAGAAGCAGAGGAAAAGACAGGAGAGAGAAGAAGAAAGAATAATGGTAATAGAGCTAGAGTGGAGTTACAGGAGGGAATTAGGAATGAGAAGGTAAAGAAAGTGAAGGGAGGGAGGCAGAGAAGCTGACTCGTGGAGCATGGCACAGTGAGGTAGGTCGGTGACGAGGGAGGAGAGAGACACCAGTGCTTGCTTCCTCACTGAGAGAGCTGTGTCCATGCAGCGCTCGTGTAGGGCCAGCACATCCTGCAGAAAGCAATACACGTTTCCCCTTGTCCTATATATCAGTCTAGTGTTTTTTATGCTGGTATATACACTGAAAGGAAAGCTGGTAGTCCACAACATTGATTGGATTATCCTATATCAGGGGTTCATTTGGGGGAGGCCTCACACCTTAATCAACCCCCCTTGGGGTTCACGCGAACTTTTGAATTCACACAGACACAAGGGTTGCCCCCTTTCATTATTACACATTTTGGATCAACTTATAATATACAAATGAAGTCCATTTCATCTCTCTTTTTCACCTCCTTGTCTCTTCAACGGTATTGTTGGGTGTCGTGATGAGAAGTGGTGATTGATGAGTCTCGCGTTAGGCTATTTTGAATATAAGTTGATCCAAAATGGTTTTGGATAATTTGTAGCTTTGTGATAGTACATGTACTATAAGGGGTGCAACCCTTGAGTCGCATCGTTTTGGCAAAGTCAAAAAGTTGCGGGATTGATAAGTGAGACTCCCTTAGAGCTGGGGGTGTGTGTTATTAAGGTGTGATACCGGCCTCCCCACTGAAGTGAGGAATCGCCTGTTCTGATATAGATAATCCAATCAATGTTGTGGCGCACTCACCAGCTTTCACTTTCAGTTGGTATATACCAGCATTAAAAAACATACTAGACTGAAATGTCATAGAGACAATTGGGAGAGTACGTGTTGTTGTTGCTTGTGCGGTGCAGGGAGGATGGTTAGCTGCTCGCCCTACACGAAGCGCTTGGGCATGGACACATACTCTGATCTCTTGCTTGCATGAGATAGCAGGAGGCTGGTCTCTCTTTCTCCCTCCCCTCCGTCACCGACCTCTCATACTTCCCCAACCTGTTTGTGTCCATAATTATGCACGATAGATCAGTGCTTGCTGTTTTCTGTTTGTCTAGTGCCTCTTTCTCTGCTTCATCCTTTTTTTAACTCTCTCCGCTTCCTTCTAATTTCCTACGTCCTCTCCCTTAACTCTCTTGGTCTCAGTCTGTAAGCTCGTTTGATTACCATTTAATATGTTGTCTCTCCTCGTTTTCCTCTGCTTCTTCTAGGTAGAAGCTTATGTCTACACTCCACACTCTCGTGTCGTGCGTCGTCTGCCTCTCTCTCTGATCCCTGATCTGTAGTGCTGTGTTTTCCATATTCCTCTTCCTGTGCCTCTCCTGATGTCTTGTCTACTAAACTGCGAGTGATGTTTCATCACATTACACTCTCTTTCTTCCATGATTCAACATCCTTCGCACCTCTTGCGTGTGAGTGTGATCTCTTTGTATCCACATTATTCCACTCTTCGTGCTGTTGTCTCTACCCTTCACCCCTTGTTTCATCCATAACCCATACTGCAGGTTGTGGCTTGTGAGTGGGTGTTTCATATTCCATTTGAATTGAGTGTGTCATTTTGTGTCTGACCTTATTGGGTGTGGTGTCTTATGGTCAACACCGAGGCCAGCGACTCTAAGTAGGACTGGCATGCGTCATGTAGCTTGGATGTAGCATCATTCTTGAGTGTAACATCTGTGCGCCTTGTGGTTCTCACAGCTCCATACCTAGTCAGTACTAATTGCTTAATATCTCTTCTAACGAATAAGGTCTTTGTATCCTTGAACCACAGCATTAGTTCTGTCGACACTTTTCATTGTGTAGTCTGGATCGTCTTTGGCGTTTTTGCCCAATTGGTCTAACTAAATGTGGAATTGAACATTTATTTAGACTCCCTTGTGTGTAGTCTCGTCCAGCTTGGTAATATTTTATGATCCCTTGGTTTGCCTGTAAGGTTTTAAAGTTCTTTTTATAGATGATCCCCTGGTTTGCCCCAGTTTGTAGTGAGTTTCCTAGTGTTTAATTTTTGTGTTCCTCGTGTAACCCTTGATTTACAATTTGCGTCTGAGTGCGTTTGCTTCTAGTAGTTACTCCATATCTGATTATCGCGATAGTGCAGTTCTAGTATGTACATGTTCATAAATGGTCTTCTTTCTGGTGTTTGTCTCTAGTGCTGTACCTATAATTGTATCGGCAAGTGAACATGCACTCTTGAAAGTGCATGATGTGTACTGGGTGCTCTGCATGCACTTTCGTGAACGACTTATAGATTCAAACTCTTGTGTGAGGTTTAGCTCTTAAGCTGGCGATGGTGCACCATTTTCCAGTCAACTTTGAAAACTATTGTGGCCATACTTGCGCGCGATGTAAACTTTACTTACTTCGCATTTCTGAACTTTGTTCAAATGGGTGGAAGAAATTGCAGCTTTATCACGCATGGGACAATTGCACTTGAAGAAACATCACACCGCTCTTGGTACCTCGTCCTACATCCGATAAATAAAGTTTGTGCAACTCCTGAGGCATACTAGAGGCACCCAATGTAACCAAAGCATTGTATGGCTAACACATCACTTCGACAATTTTTTGTCACGAGATTTTTTAGATATACGCTGAGTTGAAGAAGAAGAACATCTCAACATGCTGTGTGTTCTTCGCACTTCTGTCATGATGTTGTGTGCCGTGTCGCAGGGGCTCGAGGCAGACGGTTATGTGTGGGAGCTAGCTGTCTCTGGTGGCGAGGAGGCACAGGATGGACTGCGCCACGTTCGCGGAACGCCATCTCCGGAGCTCTCGGGCAAGCAGGGCTGGGCGGCTCTCGTGAGAGCTGTTGCTCAACACCGCACACCTTCCCCACCACAAAAGTGTAGATATGTAATACATGTGTAGAAAAACCTGTTGATACAGTATAGCGCGAAACTAGATAATTTCAGTCGGGATTTAATACCTTTTGGATGCCATGAGGTATCTGCTTAAATAACGCAAAACTTGCTGTATAAAGTATTCGCGCCCTAGTATTACTAAACACCCATTTAAATTCTTTATGGACTTACAGCAAGGGCATCTGGACACATTTATGCCTGTCGCAGGCTGGTTAAGTGTAAACGCAGTTCTTAAATATATTTGCATGAATACATGTAAAGTGTAGGTTTTTGAGAAGTTGCATAATGGTATGTGGAGAGTACCCGTGTGCATGAAAACTAAAAACCAGCTACAACTTTCACATGCAAAGGAGAGAGAGGGAAGGGCTTACTAGAAGGCTTTCACAAGTGGCATGCCATACATATGGATACAGTCGCGTCTGTTGTGAAAACCTCATTCCTGTCGCTCGCCCAGTATGAAGAAACCAACCACACATTGCCATTGTATTATTTGTGCACGTTTAATACGCGAATATTTTCATGCATCTCTATCCAATATATGATTGAGGTTTCTTGTTTGTTGAGTGTTCTGTAACTACATAGTCCGGTTGGTTTACATCATCATAAATTGTTTTCTCTGTGGTGATAATTTTTTATTTTAGCGTCTGCTGAAAAATGTAGCGGTATCTAAGCCTGGAAATATGTGTTTGGAGTGTGTGTGAGCATGTGTGCGCTGTAATGGCGAATGAGTAATTTACACCGTCTGCATCCCTC